GCCAAGGAGGAGGGGGGTTAAGGGCCAGAAAAAGAGATTGTGGATTGAGAATTAATGAAATTAACCTAATCTTTTCCATTCCGCAGCCCCGCCGCGGCCGGGCCGAGCTGGGCGGGCGGCCTAATTGCTCAGGTTAATCTTATTAATACCATTGTGGGGCCGCGGTTAACAACTCCTCCGCCGACCTCTCCGCCTCCCTCCCTTTTTTTCTATTATTGGGTGCGATTTCCTCCGCCTGTAGCGCAAATTCATTGTGGCCGATTTTACTGACTTTACTTTTTACCCCCTTTCGGAATTTGTTTTGTTTTATTTAATGTAGGTGGCTGCGTCCTTCATCTAGTAAGACAAAATTCCACCCCTTCGTCTCGCCCCACCCTACCCCTATGATGTACTCAGTGCCTAATTTCACTTTTTTTCACCCCCCCAAATCTTGAGGTTCTCTCCCAAATGAAACACGTTAACCCTCCCTCCTATCCAGAATCTTTTGTTTCTGCGAAAGCAAAATTTTGTAAAGGCAAAAACAAACGACCGAAAAAGATATCCATCGCGTTTCTTAAAAGTTTTCTTTCTTTTTTTTTTTTCAACCACTTTGATCTTTGATCTGAAAACCACGCAGGCCCTTCTAGGTCCGTACGCAGCACTGAAGACCAAATTCAAATTCGCTACCAAGAGCACCGCTCAGAAGCGATTGCTTCCAGCGGCTTCCCGCGTGGGTGTCGGTAGATTCTATCCATTTTGGTTTTGATTAGTATTTTGGGGAAGGGAGAGTCTTCCCCCAAACTATTTTGGGGTTTCAATTCTGAGGGAGTCCTTGGGATTGCCTGTCTCCTGGCCACACAATTGAGTGGCATTTTCTCTTCCCACCGGCTCGCTCGGGCCAGGCCTCTAGCTGACGGGTGTCCCTCCGCCTGGCAGGCGGGTGCTGGGCTCCGTGGGGCCCCAGGGGCCTGGACCCAAGTCGGTGGCTGCTGGAGGCCGTGGTGATTGCGGGACTCCCGACGCCGCACAGCCGGGCTGCTGGAGGCGCGCGAGGCGCAGCACTGCGCGCAGGCGACAGGCGACGCTGGGGAAGGTAGGCGACCGTCCACCGCAACGAAAGCAGCGCCCCGAGGTCGCGCGGCCTGGGTGCCAGCCTCCGCAGCTCACCGCGTGGACCACCCTTCCAGCAACAGCAGGGGCAGGGCGGGTATCCGACACAGGCGAGACCAGGGTGGGGGAACCCTCGGCTTTCCTGAAGAAGGCCGCCAGGAACTCCTATGCCGTCTTTTTGAGGTTTCTCTCGCGCTTTTAAACCCGAGATCGCTGCAAAGCTTTTAAAATCGTGCAGGCTGAGGGTGCTGCTTTCCTCCTGGCTCTGGGAGAGAGGGGAAAGGCCACTTGTCAGCTGCTGTTCCCGGGTTAGACAGCCATTGTGGGAGGTTTGGTCCCGCGTGGGTTCAGAACTCGAGCGGTGTGCAGGAAAGGAAAGGAAGGCTGAGTTTCTCCTCTCGGGCCTGACGGGACCTCTGCGCCCTTAAGCCGGTCGGCTCACAGCCTGAGACGCTGAGCCCTGCGCACTTCACAAACTGGAGGTGGTATCGGGGAGCGAGAAGGACTGGGTTTCAGTTTGGAGAGGTGAAAGTTTTTGTTTTTGTTTTTTAACAAAATTCTCTCTGGAGTATGACTGTCCTTCAGAAAGGCCAAGTCTAAGGTAAGAAGTGGGAGCCTCCTGCCCCTATACCTCAAGGAGGAGGCACTTTCTGGGTTTGCAGAGACTTTACAGTTGCCCGGTTCCAGGACACAGACACGGGGCTACTGCTGGACCGGACCTAGAGGCGGCAGCTTCACCAGTGACTTCCCCGCAGTTTTTGTGTCGGTGGCTGGGAGCGCATTGCGGCGTTTCGTATGTGGGGGTGGATCTCTCGGGACCTTCGCAGGGGTGCCAGGCAGAGGCCAAAGCGCCAGAGAACCCCTGGGGCAGATTCCTGGACCCCTGCAACTTCCGAAAGGAGGTCCAGACCCAAACCCAACAGGTACTGGCCACAGACCTGAAAGTACACGCGGGAGTTTTGAAAAGCACAAGACAACCCACAGCCATCCCTACGTGTCTCCTGCTCCGTGCTAAATGATCAGATCTAACAAGTCCTGGACTGCGCTGCCTCCCTTGATTTCCTGAAGCGCTCTAGCAGTACATGAACCCTAGAAGGAAAAGCACTTCACAGGCCAGATTGTCAGAGTTCGAGACCCATCGGAGCCACCTGGCAAAGTATCCCTCCTTTGGAGGCCTCGGGACTTTAAGTAATCTAACCAAATCCAACATTAATTAGATCCCTTAAAACCTTACTATTTATTGAGAGTTACTGTTCTTTTCATTGGGACAAATGAGTGTGTTGACCTCACCCCTTCCCAAGCCAAGGGCAGGGTTCCTGCTCAGCTGGGTCCAATATTTGGGAAAGTAGTTCTGTGAGCTCTTTTCTCCGTAGACAGGGCTTTCCCAAAAGGCGACTTGGAACCGGAGCCCACGATGGCCCTGGCTCAGCCGCTGGGCTCCAGGAGAGCTCACCCGAAGCGGGGAGGAGGGGGCGGTCCCCGCCATCCGAGGTTGCTCCACTTTGTCCGCGGGAAGGCAGACGCGGTGAAGGAAGTCAGGGGCCCTGTGTCCTTGTGCCTTCTATGTAGAAACCCCGTCAGGGTCCCCAACACACTAAAAACAATCTTGTGCGGGAGTCCAGGGCTCAATTGGAATCACAAATGCAAGGCACACAAATTGTCCCCCTCCTGTTGCTAAGCGATTGTTTGTCGCCCCGCACGCTCGGCTCAGCATGGGAGGACAGGAGCGTCCGGAGGCAGCCAGGCGAGCGCTTAGGTGGGAAATACAGTAAACACGCCGCTGATTTTCCCTATTATTACCCAAACACGATTTCACACAAAGCAATCACGGCGCTGAAGTCTATGAAAATGTGTTTGTAGAAGAGTCACTCGCCCCAGTAATAGCCCTCATTTTTAAGATATTAAAGAATAGATCAGTGGATTCCACATGCATAAGGTATATTTGCTGTTTGGCATCTATCAAAGACGGCTTTTGCACTGCGGTCATCGCTAAATTGATTCAAAGAGTGTAGATTAAATCGCTTCTCTGATTTAAAACAGAGCGCCCAAGTTTGGAGTGTGTATCTGGGCACCTTCTTGGCCCCAAGATATTTTCATCACGGGGAGAGCTGTCTCTCCAGCTATCCGTATGCCCCAACCTCATAGCTATTAAACACACACAAAAAAAAAACAAAATTAGTAAGGGTCTCCAACTTCTCAGGAATCGTTTTTTCAATTTTCAGTTTATTACCTAGAAACAGAGCCATTTATAATTGGACATTTTAGGTAGGATCTTTAGGTAGACGTTTAGGTAGGATTTGCCCTGTAGTGTGCAAAAAACTGATGCATTCTTTCCAAACGTTCGGAGGGTTTTGTAAGGAGGTCACAGGAATTAGGAAAAATTCAAAGACCCTACTGAAGCCAGAGGGCATGAGGGGAGACCTCCTAAGGTTTTTACCAGCAAATCGGTTTCGTTGTTGGCCTTTGGGCTTAAAAAAATAAAATAAGAGTCTCAAAACCAGTTACTTCCCTGGTTCTGCTGCTTCTTGGAGGACCCCTCAGGGAGCCCCAAGAGTTCTTCCCACAGAGGTTGGGTCTGTGGGGTTGAACGAGGAACTGTGAGCTTCCCCTGGGGTGCAAATGGTATGTCTGCGACACTGGCTGGTCCTAGGACACTTACTAAATGAGTTTTGTTAGAAGTTTTGCAAGTTCCGAGTAAAAGCGCAAACTAATCAAAGTGTAGAAAAGCTCCACATAACCCTAGGGGAGGAGAGGGTGCCCTCCCCCCATGCCGTGTTTCCCAAGGCCGGGTTGCAGAAATCGCCTTTCAGTTGAGTTATTTACCAAAGTTTGTTTCAAAGTGACTGCACCGTGGCGTTTGCAAATCACAGAATGCAAATGATGATAATTTGTTCTCAGAGGAACTTTCTCTTGAAATGATTAGCAAAGTCAGTCATTTGAAAAAGAGAGCAGCCAGCCCAAACCTTCCCAAAGCTAACTGATATCAGCTTAGAAAGTTTTCATTCATGTAAACCTCATTAATGAAGATCTTTTATTTAAACGTCAAGGGGATTTGAAATTTAGAGTAAATTATGAAGCTTGTATGTCTAGCCAAGTCATGGGTCAGATGCGTTTGTGAAAAACTGCTAAAAAGAGCATATGGTTTTGAATTTTTCTACAATGACTAGTGTTTAAATAAATTGCTTGTACTGCTTAACTTCATGTGTAATTTTGACAGAAATTGGCCTATAGCCTTTTGATATGTAAACATTTCAGCCTTTTATGCGGTATAAAAAAGACACTTGCTTTTTAGGATCAGCTCGACAGTCACCCTGTAATTCAGAAAGCTAGCACCTACCATTATGTTTTTGCTAGATTTCAACTTTCAAGTGGCAGCGTCGGGGAGGAAAAAAAAGAAAAGAAAAGAAAGAAAGAGGATATTTCAAAAGCCATGTCCATTTGAGATTAAAAGCTGCAAATGAGGTAAGAACGCGCCACTTACTATTTGAAAGAAATGGATAAACCATAGTTATTAAAGAACATTTCTGTCACTTTTCTTTAAGCCAGCCCATATGAGGGGACACTTAAGCAGGGCTCTGGAATGACTGGCATGT